ATTTGGTCAAAGGATCTAGTAAAGCAGAGAGTTCTGGAACTGAAGTAGGAGGAACTGTCAGAACACAAACTACAGAAGCACATAATTTGGTCAAAGGATCTAGTAAAGCAGAGAGTTCTGGAACTGAAGTAGGAGGAACTGTCAGAACACAAACTACAGAAACACATAATTCGGTCAAAGGATCTAGTAAAGCAGAGAGTTCTGGAACTGAAGTAGGAGGAACTGTCAGAACACAAACTACAGAAACACATAATTCGGTCAAAGAATCTAGTAAAGCAGAGAGTTCTGGAACTGAAATAGAAGGAACTGTCACAACACAAAGTACAAAAAAACCTTTTTCTGGAAACTGTACCTCCAAGGTTGAAGGTAAAGCTGATATGAAATATAAGAACATTGGGGTTATTGGTATCACAGTGGAAGATCAATTTGAAAATTCTGACAGAGTCATTGAAAAAAATGCTGGTATCCTTGATGATGTCGCAGATGATAATAACATCAGTAGTGAAAATAGTAATTCAGTTGAAGTACTAGAAAAAGATAAAGGTTGTAAAGCAAACATTTTGATAAGTGCAGGTTTTGGTGCAGAGAACAAAGAAAGTGAACATGAATACCAAAGTGTAAAATCTAATTTACATGCAGTGGACATCAGTAAAAATGAGAAAAGTGGACAATATAGTGAAGATCTTGTCTCTGTGATGACATCTTCTGGTGCTGACATCAAAGACGGGTTAGGATTTGAAGAAAAACAACAAACTACAAGTAATGGACAATCAAAAAACCAGAATTCTAGCCACCCCTCTAAAGTTGAATCTTTGGTTTGCTCATCAACAGTTACGTATTCTGAGATGAACGTAAAATACAGTGCAGCCACAAGTTCCAATATACATAATAATTCTGACATTGGTGAAGGTTGCGTGACCAGTAGCTCAGATGAGATAGGTGCTTACATTGCCACAGGTGAGAATAAACCTTTGGGCAGCAGCAAGGAGGAGGAGGGAAATGAAGATGTGATGGATGTGCCTGATGCAGATGACTACTTATTATACCTGGAAGAAATTCTGCAAACTATTCACAAAGCTTATTATGATATCTATGATCAAATGAAGACTCAGGGGCATGAGGATATTCCTGACTTGAAGTACGTGATACCCTACGTAAGACGCAAAGTTCTGAAAGGAGTAAACATTGTTTTCAGTGGTGTCATCCCAACAAACATGATTCCGGAAAAGAGTAAACCTTGGATTGTTGCCAAGTCTTTGGGAGCAAATATTTTCAAAGATTTAATACCAGCCTCTCTTGATAAAAAGAAGGCTACTACCCATGTAATTGCAGCAAAACTGGGAACAGCCAAGGTGAACAGAGCCAAAAGAATGAAAGGTGTTGAGATTGTTACTCCAGCTTGGCTCTGGTGTTGTAATGAAAGGTGGGAAAAGGTTAATGAAAGGTTGTTCCCTTTGACAAAGGACTCAAACTATAAAATAAATCCTATTTCTCAGAACACCTTGAATGAGATGCGCTTTCTCGACATTCAGTCTCAGTACTTTAACAAAGCATTTAATGCAGTTCATCCAAACTTTGAAGACTGCCCTGTTTATGATCCCATCACGGGAAAGCGAGTACGACAGCAAAACAGTTCGTTGTCTTTACTTCCTAGAGCAGGTATTCCTGATGAAGGAACATTTCAGTCTGATGGTTTGTTATCTTCTTTTTCTCCCCAGCAGTCAGCACTTGTGTCTTCTACATCAGAGAAATCATCATCTTCATGTCGGTTCTCAGAAAGTTATAGCCCTCTGCTGGCATTTTCCAAGCAAGATTTAAAAGACATGGATCAAGAGGTTGAAGATGCTTGTAGTGAGAATTCTGGAGAAGGGAGAGATGATGATGAAGAAAGTGATGACACTGATTTGGAATTAATTCCAAAGAAGCGTAAAGAGGATAGTTCAGAGTCCAGCAGCGTAGAGAGCTTGTCCGGTGGAGAGTGCCCAAGGAAATGGAAGAAACGAAAGTGGAAGCAAGACTTCGAGGACACTCTTGAGGACGAAGAATTTGATAGTGATGACGATGAAAAGATAATAAAATTTCGTCGCATGGAATCGTATGAAAGTGACAAGAGTGACAGTGAGGAATATAATGAGTCAATTGGATCAGTAGATGAAGAGATGGCAGCAGCTGTGGAGAGGGAGTTTTTAAGTTCTTGAACTTTTTTCATGTACAGTTTCTACTTGTAGTATCAACAATCTTGATTTTGTTTTTTAATATATAAAGTGTTCATCAATTTACGAGTTGAAATTCAAAAGTTACTGAGGTCAAACTTCACATTTTCTATCATATAAGCCCCCCCCCTTTTTTTTTACCATATCATATCTCCCAAGTGTTATCATTATTTACTTTCCATCATATTTCAATTACTGTACATAAACTATGTTGCATTAATCTTCTGAAATGTGGGTTATAGAACAGCTTTGATGTATACTATAAAAGTTCCAGGTTCAGTTCTTTCAGTGACTATTATACGTTGCACTTCAGATTCACGTGTTTCATTTTCTTTTGTATCATAAAATGTTTGTGATTCTTATCCATGGCTTTTTATTTCTTCAGATCAAGTCTGACAACTCGCACACTTTATCTTTGTAAGTGTTAACCATTACCCACTGCAAGATCTTGTTATCTCCTCAACAAGAATCACATATTTTCTGTTATGGTTTAACATTTCCATTATCATTATTCACAAAGTAACTGAAGCATTTGTTATGTGTGTGTGTGTGTTTGGGAGGGGGTCCTATAGATTGTAATTTATATAAGATACTAAATCAAAGTTTATAAGGAAATACCTCCAAGTGGCTCAGTGGTAAGTCGTTGGGCTAAAAATTGGGTTTTAATACTCGAGGTAGACAGAACAAATATCCCATTTTATAGATTTGTGTTTTACAATAACAAACATGGCAGTCAGAATTAGACTATATTATTATAAAATGAAGTAAGAAATATTTTTTTTGGCATTATTACATTTCAAGGCCCTGATTACTTATATCTGTTGAAAAGTTTGCAGTTGTACATCTTTTTGTTTTATTGGATTCCCCAATATTTCAAAATTTTTAGTTTAGTTTCTTTTCGTATTTTACCGGCAGTTTAAAATGAAGTCATCCTTAATAATTACTTATAACTACTAATCTTGTTACAAATGTTATTGAAAAGAAGTGAAAATGATATCTTTATTTAATATAAACCAGCTAACACATAACAAGGGAAACTATAATTATTAGTCCATGAGATGAACCCTGTGATGTATTTCTGGATAGGCCTAGGCCTACGGCGGTGTCGTTTTTTTTTTTAAGCTGATCAAGTGAATGAAATATATAGCGAACATAACGTTAATAAGCAGTTGTTAAAAATAACATTCCCACCTTTCTCTTCCTGTCGCCACTTTGCTGTTGCTAACAAACTGCTGTTCTCGACTCTACCCCCAAAAAAACATTACACTCCTTGTTAATACTATGTGGAAAATATTTTGTAGTATCGGTCAAATTCGAAGCTAACTAGTTCTGAAATCCAGAGCCCTAACACAAGGCCCAATAGTCTTAGCAAGCGATGCTGAATTTTGTATTTGAATAACCAACTACAGTTGTTTCGCATGTTTTGGTCTTCATACTTTATCTGGTTTTTTTGTACCTATACAGTACACCCAGTAACGTTTTAAAGTTTTTGCTATCCCTAGATTTATTCGGAAGTGTCGCCCTCGCGCTCCGTGGACCGGATACTTTAAGCTGTGGGTCATCATGAAAGTGACCATCAATCTTTTAGTGAATGATAAGAGTGTCGCTGACTTTCTGCTTGTCCCCTGGTCAGTAGTTGAAAATTAGGGATGGCGGCAGACAGCCGTAGTAGTTTGTCTACATTTTGATTTGTGTCTGTGTAGAAAGAACTATACAGAGATTAATATGAATGTAGTATATCCCAAATTAGAGGGACTTAAAACCAGATGTGGTTGATGCCTATGGAAAGAATATAAGTATCTCGGCTAGCAAATGTGCCCGTGCCAGTCCAAGTATTGACTTAACGATAGCGAAACGGCGTGTGTGTGCATTATTCCCCATTCAAGTCTACAGAATATGGGCGATCGGTGAATACTGCTCTCGTTTGGCATAGACTTCACGTCTTCAAACCTTAAATGGCTATCCAAACCAACAGGAATGTTTAGTAGTAGTTAAACACCATGGTTTTCTTGTGTAACAAATATTATTGTAAACATCATTAAAACAAAAACGTTATAAATTTTATGTTTAAAAAAAACGTAAATTGTAACCCAAATTGGTTTTGAAATAAGTAGAAAGGATTTTTCATCAACTGGCTAGATACTTATTAATAATAGATACCTTTTTTACTTATATCAACAACACATATAACTGGACGTTTATGGATGGGTATTAGTAATAGAAGCTTTATGACTTGATATTGTTATTTTATACTCTGAAAAGGGAAACTGAAATCAAAAGGTTTGTATTCCTTTTATCTGACGTACGAGAATCTTGCATCATACTGGGATGATTTGGTTGAACTTAAACGTATGTATGTTTATAATTTAAACTGTACAGAAAACACGAGTGTACGATGTGTAGTACAACATCTGACGTAAGTTTCGAAATTGGTGAATTTGTTAGATTTTCATTTCGGGTAAGAGGTTGTTGATAGAGAAACTTTTGGAACCATTATTGTGTGATAATCACTACCTAAGGCTGCATTACCAAATAAGAAAGTCGTACACTAACGCCCCCGGTGGCTCAATGATAAATCTGAGGGATTATCAACACTAAAATTCGGCTTTTGTGTAACTGCACTTAACAACAAACAAACATATACCAACGATAGAAGCGCACTCTACATGTATTTATGTTCGTCGTCACTTTTCAATATATCAATAAGATTTTTTTGAAACAGTTATGCGACATCGTGAGATACGTCTATTGGAATAACTTTATTTCATTATTATTTGCGTGAACATTGATGTTACAATAATGTTTTTGTAGATTGTAATTCAGAAATGCCCAAAGATACAAGTAGCTACATTTGTAGTTTTTCTGCGGTTCGTAATTTGAATTTTTCCAAAACATCTTATTTTTAATAACATCAAAGTATGAATTGTTAGATGTGGTCCTGTAGTTAACGTGAGCAGACTATGAATCCGGGGATTCGTGACTTACATCCTTTTGTCGCGAAAAAGGGCTCTTCAATTTGAAAATCTGGATTTACTATAAGAGTAGCAGTCAATTTTCACAGACAGAAGTTGGCAGTAGATGGTGATGACTGTCTTCCTTCTAGTCTATCGGCTCAAAAGTAGGGACGGCTATGCGCAAATAGGCCTTGTGTAGCCTTGGCCATAAATTCTAAAACAAATGGCAACTAGTGTAAAATAAACTAGAAAGACTGGGAAAATGAGTATTTTCCCGAAAAGATATATTATTTTACTCTAGAATTCGACTGACTGAATTTTAATATAAATAAATTTGGCTGATCCAGTTATTTTAACAACAGTATGTACAGTTTGTCATCGAACGTAAAAGAAGACATTAAACATGCTGTACAGACAATACTAATCCTTCTTTAGTCAGGTATTTGTATGTGGATGAATCACAAAATTGATGTTGTTTTGAACTGAAACAGCACATCAATTTGATTACGTTTGTCTGCAGGCACTCTTCAATAAAGAATTGGGGTAGAGATAAATTCTTTTTTAAAATGAAGTATTTTTTATAGTCACCGAACGTTTTTACTGCTAGCCGACAGATGACACTAGTAACTTGTTGGAAATCGTTTTGTGAACTTACAATATGGTAGTTTAGTAAAATATAAATTCAATTGTTGCCATTTTAACTGAAGATTAGTTATTAAATATAATTGGTATATTTATTTTGATAATTATTAAATTTGAAGTTTTGATGATAAGTCCTATCATTAGGAACAGTCGTTTTTTTTTTTGTCATGCTCGTCTGATCGGTTAGGCCTTATGATGAATTTTTGATAAATCCTGTTGTGGTTTCTTGTTAGTTGTTACTATAGACCTGGAATGAAGGAAGAGAAAAGACATGTTAAATTTTCTATGTACGAGATATTGTCTGGTTTATGTACAGTTGGTGGTACTGAACCATTTCGTTTACAAATAATCAAACTTGAATATAATATATATATTTATATATTGAACGTAATTATGATTCGGGTACTTGAAGAAAATTACTTCATATATTAAAATGATTTTGTTTGAAAATGAATAGGTAGAAGGTATCCCCTTTTTCCCAAGTTCACGTGGTACTAGATAAGGTTTTATCTTGATGTAACTAAACTCATCAAGATAATTCAAATCTATGATTAAAATGAAACTTTATTAAACTTGCCAAGAGGATTTAGTACAGTCAAAAGTGTTCTGAGCAACTGTGGCCCGGTTGTTAGCCTGCAGAATCTGAAGGTCCATGGTTCGCCTCCCGTTTCAGTAAAAACGCTATCTGCTCCTTGAGGCCGTGAGTGTGTTATACGATTGGTGGTCAAGTCCTACTATACGATTAGAGTAGCCCAAGAGTTGGCGGTGGGTGCTGCTGACCAACCAGTTGTCTTTCCTCTAGTCTGTCAGTTAAAAGTTAAGGAGGGCTAGAGCAGGTAGCACCTGGGTAGTTTTGCGCGAATGGCCAGAAAACAAACAAACTCTCTTTAAGTCTATAGAGTCTCCCAGTGAGTCAGCGGGAAACTTACGTTGTTATAATACTAAACCCGGGGTTCAATTCCTGCAGTGGATAGAGTGCAACTAGCCAAATGTGTAGCATTGCACTAATAAAAACTTGGTTAAAATTCTCAAGATAACTTACTACCCTTAACAGTGTTTTAAACAACTGCCTCTCTTCAAGTCTGTAGATAACTTTGATAGTGTCATGATAGTGTTCTTCAATTTTTATTGATTTCTCCTTTCGCCTGTTAAAGTGTTTAATTTTTAATATTAAATTTAAATCATATAATTATTTGTGAACAGTATATTGTTGCTTAAAGATCCTGTCAACAGCACTGAGTTACGCCAAGATTAATTGTTTTCAAAGAACCACGTATTACTCTTACTTCACAAATAATTAACTGTTTCATCTAGCTACAGAAAGCTTCAGGCCTGGGAAAATTCTTTTTTTATCCCTATCTCTTTAGGCGGTTGTGTTTTATACGCGTGAATATGACACGTGAATAGGCCAACCAATCAAGATTGTCTCTGAGATCTCTATTTGCCCCACCACTTCCCGTGGACGTTACTGTATCTAGTCTAAATCCTAAGTTAACTCACAGTTGGCGACATGTAAGAGTAAAAAGTATTAATGATAACTAAGATGAAGGGCCAGCTTTTCAATACCCACAAGTTTTGTTGTCTGCACTACAAGACTACGTATTTCATTTCAAATAGAAACCTCCAGATTAAATGGTTAATGAAAGATCTCCCCCCCTTTTTTTGCGCCAGCAGACAAAAAAAAAAAAAAAAAATAAAA